CGGGCAGGGCCGGAGGCTCTTCTTCGCTGCCGGAGACCGTGACCTTGGTGTGACCTCGCAACGCGGTCCGGGGCTTGTCGTTCTCGATGTACACGAGCTGCGTCTCCGTCGTACCCTGCATGAAGTGCGCCTCCAAGAAGTGGTCGTCTGTAGGTTACGGAGCGTAAGTCAGAACCTAGCCGCACTCTATGCATACGGCAAACCCAGTAAGAAATGAATTTTCGTCAACGTCGATCCAATATCGTTTCTTTGTCGAAATAGTCGAATGAACGTCATTTTGTCCCCCAAATCCACATCTTTTCGATATTCCGACGTCGATTCGACGTTGTATCCATGCTTTTTATTTCTCATTGGGAAAACGAGCACTAACCTGTGTCAGCGATATCCATCCACTTTTTCACGAGGATATCCTGAAATGACACCTGGAAATTTTGATCCTTATCTAGGATTCTTGCGCGTGCACTTTCATACATCAAAACCTGCAACACAAGACGTTTTATCACATGTAACTTTACTTCAAATAAATCAATTACTCAGTGGGCCTATGATGGGGTGTGCCTCCTAGTGTGTAATGCCTTTACTGGCCTCACTCACCAGCTCTTCCGATAGCGGAAAAATACGCGAGCCGATGATCTTCGCGTGGTACATGACATTCAAATGTCCGCCCGACTGGGACTGAGACGCAGAAAAAAAAACGACATTGTGGATTAAAACTTGATGATTATTATTACCATGCATCCATTGCAAGGGGCTTTACTCACCCAGTTGTCCATTAAGTGCATTATGTCACTGTTTGTGGACTCATCGTGGTCCCAGAGCACAAGGGGTGCCACTGATTGAGTCCCTCGAGGTACAGGGAAGTCCACGTCGGGATACAGGGCAGACACTTTGGGGGCAACGGATGCGAAGGACGTTCTGTTTTCATCAGTGCAAGAGGCTTAGACCATTAGTTGAGGCAGTGGAGAAAAATGTCCATAAACGACTTCATTTGGACGTTGGCTAAGACAATATATTTGTCGCTAATTTCTTTATTTTCCAGCACATAACATTTATTCTCGAAGAAACGTATTTGCTTGAATGGTTACAACACACAATCTAGCT